GGTCTAAGTTTCTGTATTATTTTCCATCTGTCTCTTCTATCACAATTTCTTACATGTTTTTTTTTCCCCCTTGCATTAAGGGGTAAGCTCTCCAGATTTTATTAATGCCTTCTCAGTGTGGTGTTACAGGATCTGCCTGTGTCTACTTAATATCCCATTTTCATTAAACTTGAATACACTGAGATATATCCTCCTGTGAAATAAGTCTTCTGTGCTGACTAATCAGTGGTTCAGTCATTACTGTGGATCAAGACACATAAATGGACAATCATAGAAAGAAGATTGACGAAGTCTGACAAAGGCAATATTTATCAGTAATGGGGCTCGTATTATAACCATTACATAGCCATTACAACTTTAGGGGAGCGACAGCAGGAAGAAGAAATGGCCTTCAGCAGAAGAGAGAGAGGAAGACATACAGTGATGCTGATACTGGAGTTCTCTGCATATGTAACACCAAGACTGATTGCAGAGAGGTTTCAGAAAGATGGACAACTTCCTAGACTGGAACAACAAGGTTCTCAAAAAGTTTGGCCATATTTTTGGGACCACTTGCAAATATAGTGGGAAGAATTGGTAATAACGAGAAACTACTGTAATATGTAACTAGTATGTTGATATAATCCAGTTACTTGCATCATGGGTTTGTTTTTTTTCTGATGTATTCATAATCATTGCTAACCATCACTTTTAGGAATATACTGTGTTGTGATGCACCACATTAGTTGATCACACATTGCTACTTGATAAATCATTTGTCAACAGGACTATTACTGCGAATCAACTAAAGGAAGAGAAAAGATGTCATGCTCATTTAGTTGTCTTTAAGCCAATAGGGTCTTGCTGGATCAGAGAAGATCAGGTGTTACATTGAGAGAGTAGTTTAGTAGCCCTTTCTTAGCTATTTTTGCATTCTTACATGCTGTAATCCAGATGAGACCAAAGTGTGAGGTAATTTTCTGATCTCTGCACAGGCAGTGACAGCTGAAACTAAAACCCAGATGTGGGTCCCAGGAGCAGAACATCAGAGTAGTGCTGGCAGTCAGGTTTTATTTTCAGCTGGAAAGTGAGAGTACTTCTTAAACAGCTACATGCTTCAGTGTGCATGTTCTCAATACTTCTGAGACTCCGTGGTTAGCAGGTAACCAGTCCCATGTACTCTCTGGATAAGAATGAAGCCTGATTACCTGATTGTTCTCTTGCGTTTTGATTTACCAGAAGTGCAAAGATACTCTTAGCTGAGCAAAAGAGACCAGGGAAAAGATCTTCATCAAGGTAGGCTTTGCTTTAAGCTGAAAGATAACAAGTAGAGCTTAAGTCCAGTATTTGCTACATTGCTTCTCTGGTTATAGCCAGTCATTTAAGGACAGGTCTTACACATTAAGCTGGAGTTTCATACAGAGGGACTGTAGTCACTTTGGTAGGTTTGTTCCTGCATTCTGATCACTAATGTATTCCTTCTGATGAAACAGTCATTCAGGTGCACACTAGCCTCAGATGACACAAAACACATTAAGTCAGCTGTGAGAAATAGCAGCCCCTGCTTCTTGTTGATCCTTTTTCCCAGTAAAGAGTCATGCTCAACTTCTGTTTTTTGGATCTAATACCTGTAGGCCAACAGGTCTGTGGCCAAAGCCCAACAGTGAACTTGGCTCAAATGTGGAATACAGACCTGGTCTCTGTTAGCTGTGTGCTGGTTCAAAAGATAACGCATTTCCTTTGCCATATTCAGAGATGGCGCAGTTAAAATAGAGAAGTAGCTTTGAGTTTTCCTGTTAGAACAAAAGCAGGTTCTTCAGTCTACTGCAATATGCCTGTATGCAGAACTGATTTTGTTTTCTCTTTCAGATCAGTTATCTTTGTCCAGAAGCTTGAATGTGTTATTAGGGTTTTAATGTATCTAAAGCTATTGATGTCATAGTTATTGACATTTACATTCAAGTAATACCTTATTATATAGGAACCTCCCCAAGTAAAATAGAGGCTTCCAAAATTACTAGTCACTCCTTAAAGGTGTGGGTTTTCAGCGTTTCAGCCACATCATATTTAAAAGGCAATTTAGTTGTGCCATAAGGTGTGTAGAATTTAAAAGGCTAATTGGCCCTGGTTACATGACAGAGCCATTGGTAAAGGAGCAAGTGTCTTAGATTAAACATCCAGAATGGTTTATGGGATGATTTAATATACTGAATTGAAAGTGTTGCTGTTTTTTAAGTGACTCTAAAACCTGAGTGTTTAAGCAGCCATAAACAATGTAAGAGTTAAAAATGGGCACCAGCATCAGTTTTCTTGTCAAGGGTTCTGGTATTTCCATTTTAGTCTGAGATGTTTGTCTTTGGGAGAGGGAGGAGGCATACACCCAAAAGCAGAAGGAGCAGATCCCGCTTTTGGTTGGTTTTACAGTCTAAAGTAATCCATTGATTTTAATAGATGTGTACCAGTTTACCTGAAGGACTTAATCTAGAATCTTAACCATGTTTTTTATTATGCTTTTTATTTTATATATATATATAGGTTATATATTAATTATATATATTTTATTATATATATTGCTAAGATCCTTTGTGCTAGGGCACTTTATGGCTGTTGTGTCGACTTAATATGAAAATGGACTCAACAATGCTCATTTATTGGCATAGTTGTGGTGTCACTGTTGGAAAGTTAAAAAGCAGTAATTATAGCTGAAATCAGAAAGCAGGTTTATATTTTTACATGCACAACGCAACTTCTTACTAAAGATTGTACTTAACAAAAACCACTGTTGAATTCCTCTATTTCTCTGAAAGAAGGGTAAGTACACTGTTGTTACTCACAAAGTGCAGCACCCAGTGCTGCCATGTTTACAAAGTTTTTAAAACTCTCTTCACAAAAGAAGACCGCGTCTGTGTTTCTTTTCTATGCTATTAAATAAGACTAGAGATGCATAAAAAGATACTGGATATGGATGCAGAAAAAGAAATACAATTGTTACTTTAAATCCTGACTGTTGTATCATTTACCTAGGATCCTATAGCATCCCCATCCCTTTTATTGTGCATAGCTGAATATGAACATGAATTGGAAACAGAACCAAACAATATTAAACAAACCTACCATTATAAAATTGTTATTCCTGCATTACATTTAAGGTATGTAATACATTGTTAACCTTTTACATTTTTAAATGTCCGTGCTAATCACGTTCTCAGTCTGCACACATATTCATCTGAATAGAGTTCTTTCAAAGGGACTGTCCCTTTTCATCTAGGAATTGCTTGTTTGAATATGTAAGATTACACAAGTGATTCACAGGTTCACTTGTATCTGTTTATCTGAATTCAGACTGGTGTCAAACTCTTGGCAAATCACTGTATTAGATATGTATATTCCTGTAATTTACATGCTTGTAAAGCCAGGAAGAACTATGCATAAACTTTCCTTAAACTCAACAGCTAAGAGATAAATTGAATATATATATATACACACAGAAAAAAATGAAGGGTCTAAAAGACAGAAGGAAAAGGACAATTGAAGTGGATACCGGGGATATAGTAACAACTTCTGGGGTTCGTACAGAATCAGAGTTGTGTCATTCAGAAACATCGTATACTTGTAATCATTCCTCAGACCATTTGGAGACATTTGGAAAGTCGTAAATAGAGTATAGTAAATAGTAAGATAATCCTAAAATACCAGAATTACTTCTGTCTGAAAATTAATCTAGTTTTCTGTCATAGTTGCTGTCTTCAGTCTATTCCAAGTATGCAGAGCAATATATAGAAAGGTCTTCTCATTTCACAGGAGTATTTGCCACATTACATTTTGATTTCTTCTGATTTGGCATAAAATCCCCTTACTTTTCAGTTCTCTATGAAAGGGAAAACCTGAGGCTTTCCAAGCAAAACTGATCTGTAGGCTGCTGCAAGTCAGGGTGCTTGGATATTTTTGCCCTTGACTTGAGGGACATTTCCCTGATTTGCACCCCAGATCTATAGATTTTTTCAAAGGCTAACTGCCATTACGAACTCAAGCTGTGATGTTCTGATGAGACAGAAAAAAAGCTGTCTGTCTGACAGGAAGCAGACTCCAGGGCTGGGTAAGCTGGGCTGCTGATTGTTTTGTTTGTTTCTTTGTGGATTTTTGTTTGTTTCGTGTTTGGGTGGGAAGGTTTTCTGGGGGGGTGGTTTGTTCTTTTCTGGGTTTTTTGTTTGTTTGTTTTTTTTCTTTGTCTTGTTTTGGGGGGGTTAAATCTGTAAATTCCTTTTGTTTTCTCTGTTAACTGAAGAGTGGGTGTGCCAGAAATCCTGTCCTGGGCTGAGACCATTGTGTGCAAACATCTAGTATGTGCTATACACCCTTAGCGATGTCCTTGAAGAGGTAAACTATGCAGGAATGCCATACTGCTAATAATATGGGAAATATGGAAGATCTGCTTAGGATGTTGTAGTGAGATTAGATTCAAAAGTAAAACATTTTCAAGTTACTATTTAAATCACACAAAAATATGTTAGGGTTGTGTTTCTAGCAAGTGTCTAATGAGTAGGGAGAAGGGTGACTCCCTTCATACCTGTTTGTGTACGCTGCTGAATCACGTCAGTACCTCATCTGAATACAATTCCCAACACACTAGCCTCATCTGACTATTAAAAGAAGTGAAGATGGAACAGTTGCAAATCTGAAATGCAGGTGGAGCATTAACACTGTATAGCATAGATGTAGTGTAAGTGATATGTTAAGTAAGTAAGAGTTCTTTCTGTCATTAGGCTTGAAAGTAGCTTTTGACATGAATTGGGAATCCTGACTTTGAAATAGTTTTTTGGTGGTTTGATTTTGTCTTTTCGAGAATAGCTGCTGGTTTCATATTATAAGCAGTTTGGAGCTGTGCCTGTCTATTCAGTTTGTACAGAACATGGCATGGCAAGAACCTGAGTTATAATAAAGTCTCTGTCTCAACAGTAATTAAATAGTGTGTTCTAACATTGTTTTTGTTAATAGACACCTATGTTGTTTTTTTTCCTCAGCTTTCTCTGTTAGAAGATGCAGGGTTTGGTGGTGTTCTCCTTTATGTTGATCCTTGTGACTTACCAAAGACTACAGATCTTACCGATAAAGCATTTATGGTTTCCTTGAATGGTGGAGGAGATCCATCAACACCTGGTTATGCCAGTATTGGTAAGTACTGTTCAGGGCATATTCAGTTAATGCATATTTTAATTCTATGTAGATTGTAAGTATGGGAGATAAAACACTAAACCACATCCTGTCTGAAATAGAAACTCTGGATAAGGGAACACCATTTAATGCAGTGTGGCTCAAAGTTTGGAATCTAGTCTCAAAGGTCATTTTGCTCTAAATTCTTGGCACAAAGTTTGCACTCTAAATAATCGATTTTGTTGCTTTTTGCATTCACACACTGAACCATTATTCCTGCCTGTTTATTATTACCCCATTGGAAAAAAAAACAAACGGTTTCTGAGCAGATTCCAGGGGATATGTCCCCCCTGAAATAAGCACTTTTCATTCTGTCTTCCACTTTCATGGTATAGGCAATAGAAACTTCTGGTCAATAGTTGCAAGTACAATGTAGTCAGACATTTATATTTGAAAGGATTTAAGAAAAAAGTAATGTTTATTGTATCTGTGTGCAGTAAGCACTTTAATAGGATATGTTCATTTAGCCTTGTCTCAGTTCTGCCTCGGTAGACTTGCTTATCACTTATGCTTCTCTAAATACATGTATTTTTGAAGTATGGGAAATAAGAATGGTTTTTAAGGACTTACCTAATCCTTTATAATCTTGTGCTTGCTTGGTTGTTTTTTTTGTTGTTGGGGTTGTTGGGTTTTTTTTTGGGTGGGGGGTGTTGGTGGTGGGTTGTTTTTTTTTTATGCAATGTTATCAGTAAATAGAAGCAACAGCGTATTTGACTTGTATGCACTTTTTAAATCCACATTCTGGCAGTTCACTGAATGTGTGTTCTTCCTTGCTGCCTTTTCAGCTTTACAGCCTTTTTTACTATCTAACCATTTTGAAATGTATTAAGCAGCAGTCTGAGTTTGTGACAAGGCTTCATCAAGAATGTTTTGTCCAGTTACTAGCTCAGATATCTAAAGTCTGACTTGAATTGGCACTAAATCAGCTGAGGCAGTGCTGATATATACTTCATGACTAGAATGACAGAAAGTAGAAATATTTGCCTGGTTGCCAAAGAAGGGTGTTAGCTATTCACAGCATGAATGCCTTGACAGCACAGTGGGAAAGAAATTGCGCATTTTCTCAGTGTCTCAGTGTACCTGACCCAGTGTTCTTAAAAGTGCCCTGGGAGCTACAGAGGTAAATATAACACTCTTGAAGCTTTATTCTTGCTCATTTCATGGAGCTGTTTGAAAAACAGTTTGCCGCTTATCTGTCTGGCTGACTCCTTAATGTTTTATTTACCCTACATGAAAAGTGAAGCTAATTAAAGCAGATGCACCAACATGAAGATGCCACTTCAATGTCTAAACCTCATGCATTGGTTTTTTGTCAGTAAATGATCTAATTGGCAATGTGCATTCTAATCTCCAGTCTGAGATAGTGGTGATCTGAGTACATTGGTGGTTTCTGCTAGAACTGTTAGTGTGACTTTTTTGTGGCTTTAAATCTCTGACCATTCATAAACAGGAAAAGGCTATCTTGTTTCTAAAATTGTTTTGATCATAGACTGCAATAATGACCCGGAAAGAGCCAAAGGAATGCTTGAAGAATTTTTTTTATTTTTTTTTATGATTCTGTCACTGGCAAGTAGATCAGATGGAAGTAATATCTGTGTTTCCAATGATGGTTTTCTTTTCTGGATACTATGAATCAGTTTGGTTAGAGGTAGCTGATACCTGGCACAAATACAAATACGTCTGGAGCGCAGACTTTTGCCTGAGAAATGCACTTGCATATAAGGTAGTTAAACTCACTACATGTACAATGAAAGTGCCAGATAAGTAGGGTAGCCTGTGTCACTTTGATTCATAAAGTATAGCATGCACTACGAAGGATTTTATTGGAGGCTCTTACTTAAGTTATTGGCATATCTTTGATACCATCTGCACATCACGTGTTGCCAGAAGAAGTGTTACAGCTACAGTCTCAGTGACTGCTCCAACTACCATTCTCCCTTTTACTACAAAATCCCTAGTAAGATGCATGATCCACAGTTAGTCTTGTGCTAGGTGTATAAGAGGTAGGAAACTTGTATTTTCACACTGCTGCCTGTTTCTTACAGGAAAAAAAAAATATCTGTAATGTCAGAATATTGTCCTGCTTCAGGTTTTTTCCTAGGGGAAAAAAAAAAAAAAAAATCTTCAGGAAATACCATTTACAGATCTCTCCTCAAAGTTGAGAACGTTTTCAGTTGGGGTTTATGTAATAGTTTAGAGAGAACTTTAGAGTTCTCATGAGGTTTTAACTCAGATATTCCGTTTTATGAAGGTTAAATGATGTGCTTTTGCAACCTAATTATTTTATAAGGTAAGGAAATAGCTTGAGGAGATTGGCCTGAATTGCCTACTACCTATGAGTGGAATGATTTTTATATTTTTCATCTCTGTTTAAAAAAGGGAAAAAGAAAAGTTTAGAGGAATAGCATAAAATATGAATAACTTCCCTCTGTACTTTTTTGGTTTTTTCCCCTCCCATTTTTTAATGCTGCACTACCATTGTATGGCAAACACAGACTGCTGTATTGCTAGGCTTCAGAGCCAATTTAAATCAAATTTGTTTCCCCACAATGGCTCAGTAAACACAAATATGGATACAACTTGTTTGTTGATCCTAGTATGTAAATAGGATAGTGGCATACTATGTCTCAGTAAACAAAAATATGGGTTCAAGTTATTTGTTGATCCTAGTATGTAAATAAGATAGTGGCATTGTGATAAGCATTAAGAACCCTGCCCCTGGGATAAGGCACATCATAAGAATCCCTATCTGTGCAGTGGTAGAATAGAATTTTTTTCATGAAGAATTCAGGCAGCACTGTAGAAAATACTGTGAGCTTAAAAATGCCAAAATACAACATCTGTAAAATACAACCTTATGCTATCAGCTGGAACTTCAAATGTAATGTTGTTTTAGAGAATTGTTACACAGAGATTATGACAGCAAGGCAAAGCAATATATTTGGAAGTAGTCCATATTCAGCTCATTGCTAACAGCTAGTCATATGAGCTATAGTCCAGGGATTTGGGGGAAAAATCATTAGCACAGGGGAAATGCACAGTGTCCCTAGAATTATCAATAGTGAATGCCATTCAGGCAGAGCAATTGATGTGAGCATTCATCAAAGACTGATAATAGTAGTTGATTTCAGAGGAAGGGACAAGGAAGATGAGTGTTGAGCCACTGCAGACCACAGCTGAGCCCATCAGTGAAGTTGGTGGTGTCTCTGTGAAAACATATTGAAGAAAGGACAAGAATTCTGTGCAGGCAGGGGAGTGAAACTGAGGCTGCAAAAAGGCAGCATGAAGGTGCTGTTTTAATCTTTTGGAGATCGTTTTTCACTATCCAAATCAGCTTTAATTGGCAATAGCTGACAGTGTTTTCCCCATGATGGCAACTGGTAAGTGATCTCCCTGTCTTTATCTTGACCAATAAGCTTTTCCATATTATTTCCACCCCTTGTCCTGTTGAGCAGGAGTGAGAATGCTGCTGGGTAGGTGTCTGGAAGCTGACCAAGGTTAACCCACCACACTGCATACTCCATACTTAAAAACAAAATTACAGCAAAAGTTTAAGAACACCAAATATGCATCATAAAAAGCCCATGGCATTTATCTCTTTAGTCATCTGTCGTTCTTTGATTGAGCTTAGCCAGTTCTTCTGTAGTGAACACAGGGAACTACTGCTAGCACTTGGAATATGGGTGAGTACATGCCGTGATTGAAATGTAAGCCTACTTTAGTTTTAGCCACTCCTGTGATTCTGTGTGTTCTGTGCTTCCTGCCTTGTATCTGAGCTTCTCCTTACTGTCCTATAGTCCTCTGAAACAACTGGCTGAGCAGAAATGTTGTCTAGCAAGTTTTAACCATGCATATGCAACATGTTCCAAAATGTTTTGTTATAAATCATCATGACCTTTACAAGATGTCCTCAGCCCTGGTTTGTCTGTTCTTTTAAAGAACAAAGCACAGTTACAAAGATGTTTTTTCTGTGCTTGCCTTTGCAGCTGTGGAAGTGATCCTGGGATTTTTTCCTTTTTTCAAAAAAATTAATTTGTGTTTACCTTCTTCTGATAACATAAATGAAATATGTAGGTAACTTGGTGTAAAATAACTGTCTATATTCAGGCTTCTGGGTGGGTTATTTTGTTTTGGTTTATTTACCTAAAGAGCAGATGGAAGCTGGGGACAAAGAAAAGCTTACAGTGCTATAGTTTAATTCAGAGGTGTGTTTTAAACGTTCATATAAGTTTTACATGTATTCTTGATTATGTCATAATTAAAAAATAAAATTATTTTAGTGGTTGCTGTAAAAAAGCCCCATGCTTTATGATCATTGCCAACTACACTGCTCCGACTTCCTGTGTTATTTGCTGTATGAAAAAAAAAAAAAAAAAACAAACAAAAAACTGTGCTAATGCAATAGAGAGGTAAACCTTTGGAAAATACTGGCTTTTAAATAGTGAGCGCAGTATGCAATAACTTAAGAGATTTTCAATAATCCCTCTAGCACTGAGGGTTCAAAAGGTATCTGAATCCATGATCTGCCTCTTCAGATTTCACAGGATACCATAAATCAACTAAATTTATAATGAAGTACCAAATTGCATGCTTTAACTGTATTTAAAACCAAGAAGTTGTACTTCCAAGGTATTTTGGGCTCACAGGTTTGAGTGTAGGGACCTCAGGATGCTGGGGACACATACAACAAATTTTCATTGAAAATGCAGTGATTTTATCAATTTCAGTATTAAAAGAGGAGCGTAGAAGTTACTGCGAATGGTACTGTAATAGCTTGCTAGCAATGTTTGTATCATTTGCCTCTTGCAAATGGCATACTGAACAGTATGGTCAAAACTTTTCTCAGTTTCAAAAAGAAAATAATAAAAAGTGAATTTAAAGAGTAGTGGAACATACACGTGGTAAATTATTTGAAAAACAACAAACAAACACTTCCTATGCTGCAGAATCAGCTCCATGGA